ATTCTATACTTGCAATCATTTATGTTTCAATATGAGCTGTTATAGTAATTTCATGTTGAACCTTATCTTTATCTTCTATTTGAAGGGGTACTTTAGCATATTCATGTATTGTGGTCACTGCACCATTATAGTTGTAATATGTATATGGTTTAGTGAGTTCAAATCTTTGTAGGTGTGGAATCATATCACTATGGATATGTGTTACTCCTGCTCCTGTATCTATTAGGATAGAAATGTTATGTCATTCCTTCCTTTCATAATAGTCTCCTTTTATTTTGAAATGCCTTGAAGGAATCTTTCATGTATCTAACATCGCTTCATGTTTTATACTAGTCATTCTGGTTAAGACCTCTTTATCTTTCTTAGGATAGTATAAAGCTCCTAAGTCTCTACCATTTCTATGGCTCGATTTAGGTTTTGTTTTCACTAATAGTTTTCCTGACTCATATGCCATTAATCTAGGTTTTTCTCTTTCTCCTATTAAGAGTGGTTTCACACTAATATCTATTTTCCATTCTTTGGGTAGTTCTATTTCAGTGATCATTTCTGATTTCTAAATTTGTCCTATTTCAGAGAACATAGGATCTAGTTTAATATACTCTTTATCTTTGAAAAGATTAGATTGATGACTATTGGTCAATGCATAACTTATCATATAGTAAATATTGTATGGCATTGATCCCTATTTCATAAAGTTTTCTCTAGCAAATTCATGTGCTAAACTTAGAGCTTTATTAATATTTTTATCATTAATGTTTACAGTAAATTTCAGATATATTGTAAACATTAGTTTTTGGTAACTAAGGTTACCTTATAGTAATTCAAGGATAACATCTTTTCTATCATTGATTCTATTGTCTATTAATGCTAATTTTATAGGGGTGTCAATCTCTTCCTTAAAATGAGCTTTCATAAGTATTTGTATTCCTCTTATGTGGATGAAACCTATCTTGAATCTATCAGTTTCTTTGATTTTTGACAATTTGCTTTCTATTTTTGCCTTAATAATTAAAGGTATATTTATTATCCCTGTTGTATTTATAAGGATATTATATTCTTTTGTGGATATTCCATAATAAACTATATCTTTCTTTTTAAAAGGATTACTTATAAAGGAATTGGACTTGAATCCTTTTTCTAAAGCAAGGTCCATTCTCTTTGATCTAATTTTTTATATTTACTTTTATCAAATATAGTTATTTGACTATATTCTCCATGTCCTTCATATTCTTCAGAATAAGTTTCTCTTTCTTCAATATTCGGATTCATCACTACTGGAAGTGTATAAACTTTCAATTTCGTATATACTTTCTTCGCTACTTATAGAGTTAGTGTCTATTTCACTTAATTCTTTTTTATAAATTTTTAGGTTTTTTGTACTTTCTCTTTTGTATCTTTTAGGGCATTCATTTGCATAATGTCATTCCTCCTTACACAACCAGCATGTCCATTTTTTAGGATTCTTTTTATGTTTTCTTGGAGTTTTGGTCTTCTTGAAATACCTCTTTTTCTTTCTAGAGAATTTGTTCTTATTAAATCTTTGTTTATTACTTCTCTTAATTCTAAATTTTTTGCTTCTGTTGTTGTAGTTGGTGTAACTACATCCTAATTTGATTGGATCACTATTCTTAGGGCAACAAAGTCCCTTTTTCATACTTTTTCTTAGTTTGTTTTGACTATAGGTTTCTATGCACCATTCATTAATTTTGGTTTTAGCAAACCAACTCCTTAGTCCTAAAGTATCTTTTTTATCTTCTACATATATTCTGTAGGCTTCTGCCAATTTTATTCCCCTAGGATTAGGAATTTTTCCAAAGAACAATTCTCATAGCCCTCTAGTCATTCCATGATTTGAAGCCTTATAGTAGTATTTCTGGAATAGGCAAATGTATTGATCTAATTCACGAAGATTACATACTTCTAAATTTTGCAAATTCCATACTACTATTCTTCCAATTCTAGCCTCTTCTTTTTCTTGCTTTTCTTCCCAATTTTCACCTAAAAATTCTCTCCTTATGGCTGATTCAAATTTATTTATTATGTATTAAATTGCTTCATTTTCATTAACTTCCTCAAAAGTAGGATTTCCACTTATGATAGTGTTTCTCTCATCTTCTTTTAGACCGGCAAACTAGTCGTGAACTATTCCTTTAAATGTGACTTCAATAAATCTAACTACTTGTAAGGCATTCCAGTTTTTGTTTGCTATGGCTATCCAAGTAGCTTGAGCCCAGTCACTAATGACCTTTTCTGGGTCAATAACACAATCTAGATCTAACTAGATACAATTAGTACTAATCATTTATTCTTTGACTCTAATTGGAGTCTCAATTTTAGATTGATTTCCAAATTTTCTACTCCTTTTTTCATAAATTACTTCATGTGTTAAATTCCTATTCCTTTTATAGCTTTGGCTTATGCTAGATTCTTTACCAGGTTGCATTGGAAATTTTGTTGGGGTTATGTTAGGATGTGTTTCATCCTTTTCTTCTTCGCTTTCTTCTTCAATTTCTTCCTTTTGAGTATTCATTTTCATGTTTTCTAATTGTTTAGTAGTTAGAGTAATCTGTTTGCACAGATTGTTTAATTCTTCTACATTTTCTTCCTCTAAAAACTTTTGTTCAAGTTCCTTTAATTTTTCTTCTTGGGTCTTTAACATAAAAAGTGTTATTCTTTTTAATTTAGGCTTTTCTATGAAAATCTTAGGAATTATTTTAAATCCCTCATTTCTATCTATAATATTACGCCGACTATAGACTGATATTATAGTATCTTGTAGATCCTTAAGCTGTGTCTGAATCTTATAAAAATTTTTATCTATACCACTTCTTAGTTGTGGGATTATTCTATTATACATTTTTAGGCTTTTATTGCAAAATTTTCAATAATCGCTTTTAATATTCTAAGAATTTCTTCTACTTTAAGTTTTATATTTTTAACTCAAGATATCAAAGTTTTTGAGTCTTTAATAAACTGTATTTCTTCTTTCATTTCTTTTAGATCTCTAGAATTTTTTACTTCATTTATTTTTTCTTTGATAGAATCAAATTCTAGAGAAAGGGATTTTCCCATTTCTTTAATCTTTCTTAGAGTATTTTCATTGATAGTTTCCATCTCAAGAATTTTATCAGTGATAATTATGTCTGCTGTATAGATCATGCTTTTACCTAATGTATTAAATAGATACATGTTAATCCAATCTATATGTTCTTTATTCATATTGATTTTAGTATTTCAATAATTTCTCTTAATTTTTTAATTCATTGTTCTCTAAATCTAATTTGTCTATTGTATACTTATATTATTGAGTTTATTCTTTCTCTTTCTTGGATTCTTTGCCTGAACTTAATTAAAAGATTTTCTTTGATTTCAACTAGAATCTCTTCTTCGGAATAAACCACTTGCTCAATTTGGTTGCAAATGTTTATTATAGTTCTTGTATATAAAACTATATCTGTCATTAGAATTTATTGGGACTTTACTTATCACTTTTGTATACTTTGAGGACTAACTACTTAATTTTTCTTTTAATTGAGACTTAACGTCTTTCGTTAATTTAAGGGTATTAAGTTCAAGGTTATTAATTCTTATACTTTTAAGTTCAAAGTTACAAATCCTGCACTTATAAGTTCAAGGGAAAACTCCTCCAAAGCTAGTAAGTTAGGGGGGATTTTGAGGGTTTATGCCCCACATTCTGGGCTTTAGGTCTTTGGACTATTTATTTGCTTTTGGATCAGGGTTTTTAGGCCTAATTTGAATCGCACAGCTCAAGAGGGACGACTTACCTGAAGAACTGGGCTTTGTAACTTTAGTTAAGGAGAGAATTTATTTATGAAATTACAAGAAAATCAAAGCGTCATTGTAATTAAAATTAGAATATTGTTATTGAATTAATTAACCTACAATAAAGATGTATTATTGCTTAACAAACAATCCTAACATTAAAATGTCAAGATGTCTTCATGTCTCGATTTTTACTTTTTCCTATTTTTCATACCTATTTTTAATGTAGTGAAATTTTAATTATTTCTATTCATCAGTAAATACCGACAAACATAAAAATGATTTCCTTAAAAATTATGGTCTTGGCAATTGAGAGCTCATTATCACTTCACCTTCATATATTAATATTGTTCTGTATGATTTATATAAATAAATTTTTAATTTAATGGTTGATTTTTAAAATATTAATTAAAATATGAGTTTTTAGACAGATTTTTTTAAACAATTATGAAAAAACAATTTTCACTACACTAACCCCTTTTTTTATATGGATGTGCTTGGTTTATTGATTTTATCAACTTTGCATATTTTTTTAAATAACTAATTCAACTCTTTAAAAACATTTGTTTCTAAGTTGATTTTTTTTAGTACATCTAAATGAGTTACACAAAACGAGATAACTCTTCTATTTTTCTAAATCTCTCTTTATCTAACTCAAAATTTGAACTTAAGATTTTCAATTTAAAATCTCAAACTTTTAACTATTAAGTTTATCCTTAAACATATTTGCTTATAAGTTGATTTTAAACTATAAAATAATAAATTTCAACTATTAATTATTAGTTACAATTATCACATGTTTCTAACAACTAAACTAAATAAAATTGTAAATATCAAAGAATTTAGCTACTTGTGAAATTTAGACTCTTGAACTTAATTTCAAATTAATAATTTTAAATTAATAAGTATTAATTTAAGTAAAGTCTTACCAGTAAAATGAAGTTGTTTATAAGAGGAGGTGCACAGCAATCATGGATTTGAAGGTCTTGTTTAATAAGTCTTCCCTCGCATTGTATATTTATAGCCCATTGCTAATAAGGCTAATTGGCTCAAAAAAGTAAAAATTTTGGCACAAAAATTGAAACAAAAGGCTAAGACAACACAAAGTTAAAGAATTTAATAAGTTGAAGTCACTATATAATGATATAAGTATATATATATATATTTTTAACATGGGTGGGATTTAATCCTTATATACCCAAATTAGTACGAGAAGTACACAAGAAGGGAATTAATTACAGTATTAAAGATGGACCGGATCTAAAATCTTGCATAAAAAGGGAACAAGAACATAAAAAGAGGCTATCTAAAATTTGGCTTCTATCCAACCGCAGAAAAGTTGCTCGTGTTATCCAGATCTTCTAGAACATCTTCAGCACCATGAGAATGAAGAGAGTAATAGACAACACGTACTCTTACCATGGTATCTTGGGAGATAAACTCTGTTCTTCAATCTGGGAGTTGCAGCCACAGAGAAACATGAAAGGCGCGACTGACATAAAGTGTATAATTTCCCAAATTTTCCACTTCAACCCAAACCGTCTCCGAGTCATCCAGTCTGAAAATTCTGAGCCATTTTCCAAGACGAGCAACTGTAACAGACAGAAGCTTCCCATCACATTCCAGCAAAAAGCTGCGGTCAAACAAGCAATCACAGGGAGATTCAGGCTTGTTTAGAAATTCAAATTTCACTTCATCTTCTGTTTTTTAAAAACTCCTAACCTTGCTGTCACATTGAGAATGTAGAAGTTTCCATCTTAGAAAGCTAGATTATTGTCATGCATAACTTATTGCCATTCGCTGGTCATAGATGGAGAAGAAGCTCTCGTAATCAAATACATACTTTATATCCCATTCCTTATCTAGATATTTTAAAGAGATGAAGTCAATGTAATAACGCCGATGGATAGCATCATGACAGAGCATAACAATAACACAATTAGAGGAGTCTGGAGAAGTTGAGAAACCGCATCCAAAAACAGTTCTACATTTATAGGGAAGATTTGGAAGCGGAATGATTTTCTTTGCAAGAGGTTTCCAGAGGAATATGGACCCTTCCCCATGTAACATCAAACACCATCCTTCTCTTGAATAGCACATGGTGACGTCTTTCGATTCATTATCAGGAATGGTCATGATATATTTTTGGCAACATGTTGGATCAATGAAATTGCAAACACTATCACCTTTTTCCCAAAAAGTGAGCCAAGGAGGAAGAGAATTATAGCCCTCAATCCCTCTAATGACTGGTTCGGAGGGGCTGCCAATCGACACATTCTGTTGGTAGCCCTAAACCTCAAGAAGTCATGCAATCCAAGGCACCTTGCAATCACAGACTGCACATCTAAAGGAAGCTTACCAAAGTAATCAAACTCAGCTTCTGCAGCTTTCTCCTGATCATGATCACTTGTTGTATCTCTCAGAATTTCACTAGCATTTGCAGCTAAGTGATCATTGATTTGTCTTTCCACATAATTGCTTAGCCTACAGATATCATGAGGAAACCAAAAAGTTACATATGAAATGATCAACAATTAATGAAAAATGTAATAAGCTATTCTTTAACTAAGATGTCTATAGTCTACATACATAAATTTTACCTGGAGTCTGCGTTTGGCATGATGTAGAAAGAAAGACTACCGTCATTAATCCTTTGTAAATACAAATAAGGTAAAGAAGGTAAAGAAGTTGAAATAGTTTTGTCTTCCATGTTGAATAAATATGCACTGTCATAGTGTACACGATTAACTTCCAAACCAGTTGCTGGATAAGAAAACCCAGCATCTATGCACCGACTAACAAAAAAACGAATGGTGCTTGAAGCTTTCTACCTTATTCCATTCCTTTTGCCAGAAATCCAGTTTGTAAAATTCCACAGCAGTTACTCGTTTCCAACGTGTGTCAGTTCTTCCTATGTAACCTAGAATAATTCCCAAGAGCTCACCAAAGGATTCCACCAAAACTATATCCTTCCAACTTTACGATCACAACAAGGGATTTTTACACCTGAGAAACTAAGGGCTAGATGGTCTGGCATGATATCGAATGCTACTAATTCGTAAACCCTATGACCATTATTAAACTCCATTCTATAGAAGTATAATTTTTCATTATAGATAACTTGACTCCAAATAAAACGTGAAAAATTCTCCTTACAGTCATCTTGGATGGGCTGCTTAGTCCATTGTTTATCTGCAATCCTACAAAAATTGAGTGAAGGAGTCCCCGTATCAATTAGTACAACCATACTGTCGCAATTAATCGGAGGTGACGATAATACAAATTGACACTGGCATTTTCCATGTTTGTGTTTAAGATCGATAGCTGGTAAGTGTATGCGTTCGTTGGTGAATGGATTCCACAGAGAGTACTGATGCCTTCCACGGGAAAAGATTATCCAACCATGACAGCAGGTCCTTATTTCTTTACGTCGCAGCTTAGGAGGTATCTTTATTTCTCGTTCTTCATCGGTGACAACAAAGTAATTAAATTTCAAACTTGGGTATTGAGTCAGCACCACCAAAGGGAGAGGTTGTGGAGCCACAAGTTTTCGATCGCCTGTTTCTTCCTCCATGTTGAGAGAGATAGCTGCAAAGAGAAGAAAGAAAGTGATTGCTACTTACTACGAGTCATCACTATAATAAATAAATATCTAGGAGTCGCATAGGCTGAATATTCATCTCCTAGCAGGATTAATTTTAACAATTTTTTATTTGTGATATATTTCATTAACAAAAAGGTATTTTATGATACAAATTGCACTAGATTAATTATTGGAGGTTTTTTAACTTTAATCAAATGAATTAAATACTTTAAATAATAAATAATAATGATCATCAATAGTTAGTTATAAACAATCCAGTCATCACCTATTTCTAAACAACTAATCCAAACGTTTGATATATAAAATCCCAAAAATTGCTTAAATCCAAAATAACAAAATATAAATTATAAAACCCAAAAAATTAATCTCATAAAAGGTTAAACAGGAAACTGAAAATCAAGGGATATATGAAAGAAACCTCCTCCCTTAATCTGCAACAACAAAAAATCGTATTCCCATCAATTTTCTAATATCATATAAGGGAGCCCAACGAATCAATAATTTTAACTCTAATACAAACAGGAATTGGAAACCTAGAGCGATATTACGAAAAAGGACAATGATGAGGACACATAATGGGCAACACCCAAATCAACACTCAACTGATTGGTAGAAATAAACTAGTAAATTTACCCTCCTCACAGTTCTACCGGTCAGCTGGGTGTTGATTTGGGTGTTGCCCATTGTGTGTTCATATCATTGTCCTACGAAAAAATAGTATTAGAACAGTAGAACGGGAATATATAGAAGTGGAAAAGAAGAGATTTTTATCAAGTTACTTGATTTATTTGAAAAGGAAAATGATATGCTTACCTTGCTAAAAGATACCCTTAGTTCACTAATAGAAAAAGGCCCTATTTGGGTAAAGACCACTGACCGAATAAGGCCATATTTTGACTGAACAAAGCATACTTCGGTCAAACTCAATGACCAAATTGTTGGTCCGAATATACTTTGTATGAAATGAAATTTTGGAGAGGAATTCATCTTGACCGAAATTCAATACTATTTTGGTCAATAGTCTTGACCAAAACTTTGGTTAAGAAATCAATAAAAAAAAAATCATATATTTGGAGAAACACAATGATCGAAATATTTAATTATTTTTTAATTCAATACTATTTTGGTCAAGACTCTTGACCAAAACATTGAGAGAGAAATCAATAAAAAAAAATCATATATTCGGATAAATACAATGACCGAAATATGTAATTATTTTTTAATCATACATTTCGGTCAAAATCACTGACTGAAATAATGCCCGGATATTTTTGTAATCTGGTCTAAATATTTTTGGTTGAAAAATATGACCGAAATAATTGCAATTGAAATTCTAGAAAATAAAATATATATTATTTCAGTCAATAATTATAACTGAAATAATAAAGAAGAATGCAAAAAATATATATATATTAATCAATTTTAATTTAAATGGTAAAAATTATAATAAAATTTGGTATTAAAAAAATCGATTTTAGCATCATCAATTATATACAATCATTACTTATTTAATTTAGTGACCTTTTTTAATATAGTTTTTAATTATTATTATACATATTTACTAATAATTACAATTAAATATATAGACATGTACAAAAAATGAAAAGAACACACAAAAATTAACATTTGTCAAAGGAGTCCAACATAATTACAAAAATAAGTCAAATTGACAAAAGCATATAAATTAAAGTATGCAAATAAATTAACTAAATATATAAAAGAAAATAAAGATTTAAGGAAAAATATTAAGTGAAAATGGAAAATTGCCTCCAAAATGCTACAGCATTGTTCACCACCTTAAAAAACCTTGAAAATGAAAAATTAAATCATTAGTATACAATTAAAACAACCAACAATATAATAAACATAAAAAATAAAGATAATTTTACATAATAAAACAATTTAAAAAATGAAAATAAAACAAATGGTAAAGAAGGAATTAACATTGGTTTTGATATGTGAAGATATGTATAAAACTTAAAGAGAAATAAAAGTTGTGATGAACAACAAAAATAAAAAGGAAAGATGAAGAGATGAAGAAGTAATTAATGATAATTTGCAAAGAATTATTGAAAGTTAGAGGAATAAAAGATAAAGAAAAGACTTCAAGTTGGAGAGGGAAGAAAGAAAACGAAAGAGAGGTTGCAGAAGTTGGAGAGGGAAGAAAGAGAACGAAAGAGAGATTGTAGATGTTGGAGAAGTGAATAGAATAGTCTGGGTTGATGTATATATAGGCAGAATATTATTTTGATCAGTATCATTGACCGAAATAAAGAGGCAGAAAATTCAAACACATTCAACGAAAAAATTTGGGGGGAAGCAAGAGTAGAGATTAATTCGATCAGTAATTATGACCAAATTAATTCTAGCGAAAAATTGAAAAAATTTGGTTGATTTGGCAGCAAAGTCCAAGGGGGTGCATGGCTTTATTTTGATCAAGGAATTTGACCAAAATTGTAAAGAATCTCCCTTTGTTTTCAATTTTAAGTAACTGTTCGATTTAATTAATCATAATTTACTTATCAATAAAAGAATATAATTATAATTTATTAATAAATCAATTAATCACTATAATCATAATTTAATAATCATCAATTAATTTATTTATTTAATTAAAATTTACTTATCAATTCAAGAATATTAATTATAATTTACTAATCAATCAATCAATTAATCAATATATAATTGTAATTATTTATCAATCAATTAAAGAATATATAATCATAATTTAGTAATTAATCAATTAACGATTATATAATCATAATTTATCAATCAATTATTAATATAATCATTATTTATCAATCAATATTTAATTTATATAATTATAATTTACAAATCAATCAATAAATTAATATCATCATAATAAATTACCAACCAATTAAACAATTAATATAATCAAAATTTTATAATCAATTAATTTATTTAATTAATTATAGTTTACTTATCAATTAAAAAATATTAATTATAATTTACTAATCAATCAATTAATCAATATACCATAATTATTTATCAATCAATTGCAAAAGCTACATGTAGACAATCTGCAGCAAACTGAAGTCTGCAGACAGCTTACGTTCATATAAAATGACCGAAATACTCCCTAAAATCTATAGCGGCATAGGCTAGAGTGAAATCAGTCATTCATTATATTTTTGTCAATAATATTGACTAAAATTGGAAGAAAAAGCTGACCACACATGACAGGGAACTATTTTGCATTGTATTTTTTATTTTCCATTAATATTAAATGGTAAAATATAGTTTAGATTTAATCTGCATTTCGATCAAGACAACTGACTGAATAAGACCCATAGCTAATTTGGTCAAGTAAAATGACCGAATTAAGGATGATGCCATTTCTCGCCTTTTAAATCTTGTCAAATTGCTTGACTGAAGTAATTTTTAATTGAATCATGCTACTTGTTTCTATTTTTTCGGACAAGCCTCCTATTCGGTCATTCATTATGACTAAAATATAGGTTTTTTCGATCAAGATATTTTCTTGATCGAAATGATCTGACCGAATTGGCCATAATTCTAGTAGTGGTTGCACATATTTGATTCAATAAATAAAATATGATTTGATAGGATTTCTATGGCATTAAAGACTTATCCCTCGCTTATCTGGGCTATTGTTTGGCATCCATTTGTTTCTTTGAAATTCCTTATTTGTTGCTATTGCCTAGAGCCCAATTGATGCCTCAAAATTCTATAGATTCTAACACTTACTCATCCAAATTTGATGAAATCTTGTTGATTGCCCTTCCTCGACCTCCATTTCTCCAAAACATCTATAACAAGAATGAAACGGTGCCAATCGGTTGTGATATGCCAAAAATTAACAGAAGTGCCACTAACCTTGTTTTTGCCTTCATTTTGTCTTCACTCGTGTTGGAAAAGCATTAGTTAAGGCATCTTGGGTTTTGTGGGTTTTCTAGTTTTATAGCTATTCTTGAGTTTTGAGTTTCTATGCATTCAACCTGCAATGGAAATCTACAAAGGCTAGGGTTTCTTGAAAATGCTGTGGGCCCTAAGGTTTCTTCCTTATCTTGTTACTTATCAAATCCATGGATGATGTAGAAGAACGCCCATGAGCTTCACATGGGTATTGGTAAATTCTTTTCTAGGTAAAAGTAACTCCTTTTGTTCTTGTTTTTAGCCTTTGTTATTATTTTTAGTGGAAAAAGTTTTGGCTCTTTAGGGCTTCAAAAGTTTTAAGCAAGGTGTTTCCACCTTGAGTTTTAGTAAACAAAGTGCAGGTGGGAGATGACCTAAAAAGGACAGAGATATGGATGCTAATCGTGGAAAATTTCTAAAAAAGATTATTGGGCTAGGAATCAAGTACCTTATCCCTTGGTGGCTGGCTTATACATTTTAAATCAATATTGTCTTCTCTTCCTTTATACTATTTCTTTATCTTTAAATTACTAGTGTGTGTGTGTGTGTGTGTAGCAAATGATTGAAAACTTAGATTGGAACTTTTTATTAAGGTAGGGAGGGATGGTAGAAGGAAAATTCATTGGGTTTCTTGGGACAAAATCTGTATAGGAAAAGATAAAGGTGGATTAAGGGTGCTTAGTCTTAGAATTAAAAGACTTTCATTATTAGGAAAATGGTGGGCAAGATTTGAGGAAGAAGAATGAGGTTTGTGGAAAAGGATAGTCATGGAGAAATATTATAGGGGTGAAAAGGCAATGGGGGTGGAGAGTGTGAGTAGAAGGAGATTGTCTAAAGTATGGGGAGATATTGTTTCAATTGGTAGAGACATAGAGGTGTGTAAGGAAATCATAGGAGATGGATTTGTGTGGAAGTTAGTGGAAGGTAATAGGATTAAATTCTAGGAAGTTAGATGGCTAGGGGAGCATGTTTTGGAGGAGATTTACCTGAGACTAAAATATGTCTCTTCCAATAAGGATGGTAAAGTGTAGGGCCTGAAGGACTAGAGGGAGGGTCAATGGCATTTGAATTTAATTGGAGAAAGAGTTTATTTGGAAGGGAATTGAAGGAGAATAAGGAGTTATTAGAGTTGATAGAGGGGGTGAGATTACAACGAGGGCAAGAGGATAAGAGGATTTGGAAATTTGACCAAAATGAAGTGTACACACCTAAAATAGCTTACGAGATGTTCAATTCATATCGAAGAATTTTGGATGATTTTTTTGGCAAAGCAATTGGAATAAACTTCTTGTTGGAAAGGTGAGTTTTTTGCTTGGAGATTATTCCTGGACAAGCTACCAACAAAGAGGAATTTGAGTTTGGGAATGTTACAGTTGATGGTGATAACACCTCATGCTATCTCGACAACAAGGATATAGAGGATGCAAACCACGTGTTTGCAAAAAGTTGTTTTTCTTACAATGTGTGGATGAATATTTTAGCTTAGTGGGGCATTCATATGGCAATATGTGGCAATGTGAAGGATGCTTTTTGGCAACTCTCTTAAGGCTAGCAACATGAAAGGACAAAAGTTGTTTGGTCCTTTTTGTGTATCTTGGTACTCGACATTTGTAGGGGTTGAGAAACAGGGTGGTCTTTAAAGGGGTGGAAGCAAATGCTCATAGATTGATGGAGATAATACAAACAAAGTCCTTCTTGCGGATGAAAGATAAATTAAGTGCATTTGGGTTTCATTATATGATTCAACGCATTATCCTAACTTGTGTGCTAGCATAGTAAATGTTTAGTTTGACCTAATAGTAAAATATAACGTA